AGGGGTGCAAAGGTCTTGTAACTTGACATTTTTAACACTTGCGTGCTTCAAATGCCAGAGTTTCTGAGCCAACATTTTGGTTGCTGAGCAAGAGCGTTGTTAAATGAGTTTCACCACATTTTATAAGTTGGCCACTCCCACCCAGTCACATGACTGCCAAGCCACTCCCACCAGGTCACATGGCTGGCAAGCCACTCCCACAAAGCAGGCCACACCTACAGAAGAGGTTCTAAAAAAATTTGAAACCCACCACTGCTGGCTAGTATCTTAACCAAAACCCAAAGGGGCTCCAAGGAAACCTCTTATACCCTGCTTCCCCACAAAGTCCAATCCCAGGGAGCTGTGGCTTGAGCTGTCCATAATGTACCCCAAGCTGGAGTAGTGGTCACCGAGCTTTCGGACTTCAGGGACTATTAAATCCATAATTTTAAATCCCGTGGACCACTAATATGAATTTGTGACGGGATGGGGTCCTTCAGGCACTTAGCTTAGCCGCCTGTTAGCGGAGAGAAGCGCCCGGGGTCAACTCTAGCTTTGCTCCCCCATTGCAGCTAGGAATCTCAAATACAGCCAAGAATGAATGTTTGTCTTCTAGCTAGCCCGGGCGCTAGATCGCCCCCCTGCAAACTCTGTCTTTTGTGGAGCCCGCCTGAAGTTTCACGCACCTCTCACTGAAGCGTCTGGACTAGCAGGGAAGGAGGGAGGGAAGGACTGGAGTTACTAAACAGGCAGCCGAGTTAAGTGCCTGAAGGACCCCATCCCATCAGCGAACGGGAATAATTGCTTTGGCTGGCCATATCCGGCCCACGGGCGTAAGTTTGAGGATCCCTGATTTAGTGCAATATAAAAAAAATGCAAAAATGCAAAGTTTCTTCTGCGGGCCACCAAAATTTTTTTGTGGACCACCAGTGGGGTGACTGCTGAACTAGAATGTCCACAGCTAGGAGAAACAGAGGAACATGTGGCCAGTTCAAAAACAAAAGGATACCTCAGTTTCCTTCTCTCGTGCATGCACGAAAGAAGCCCCTGGGAGCTACCGGCTTATTCTTGTGACAGCCCCATGACCTGTCTTGTCTTTCTAATTTGGGTTAATGTGATCTGGACTCAACAGTGAAAGGAGTGAAAGGAGCAGCTCGTATGGAGGAACTGCGGTAGCCCACTCTGACCACTTTCAACTGAGCCTTAGGCCCAGGTTGTGTTAGACCCTAGCAAACATCCGTGGGGGGGCTTCGGGTTGCTTCCTGCCACTCGTGAGATCAGTTAAATCAGGGTGTCAAACTCAAGGCCCACGGGCCGGATCCGGTCCACGGGGTGTGGTAAATCTGGCCCACAGGGCCATCCTAGAAACAGCAAAGGACCGGGCCACGGTGCCTCTGCCAGGGAAAACGGAGCCCACGGCCCTCCCGAGCTCTGTTTGCACTGGCAGAGGCTTGCAAGAGGCTGCTGCAGCCGAAAACGGAACTTGGGAACCCATTTTTGCTGGCAGGGCTCTGGGGCCACCACAGATGCCCCCCACACAAGTGACGTTGAGCTGGCCACGCCTCCCCAGGCCAGGTCCCTCCCCCATCCCCGCAAAGTCAAACACAAACCAGATGCGGCCACATCGAGTTGGACACATCAAGGTACCATCGTTAGTGCTAGAAAATATGAGATCACTAGCACTGATGATGTTACCTAGTTTGGTCATGAGATGTCTGCAAGAAAAAAAAAAAAAACTCAGGGAGAGCCAAGGACGCCCTCATTTCACCCCAGGGCTACAAATATTCTCCTTTGTTGGAAAATACCAAATGGGGGGTGCTGGCTTCTGCCCTCTACCCAGTGGTGGGTTTCAAAAATTGTTTGAACCTACTCTGTGGGTGTGGCCTCCTTTGTGGGAGTGGCTTGCTGCCCATGTGACCGGATGGGAAGCACCTGAAAGCAGGACAAGAATCAATGGATGGAAACTCATCAAGGACAAAAAAATATTTGCACATACCAAACCAG